AAAGCCAAGCCACTTAAACCACCCAAGAGATGTCACAAAGAAGGTATTGTATATTGGGATGCCTGAAATGAATAAGGCATTCCATTCAAGAAAACACAATGAAACTCCATCTCCTCCCCACATCCCCACCAAATATCACAAATTGCATAAACCTTTGAACTCATTTACTTGATTCACTCACAGTTATTCAGGCAGCATGTCAGTTCTGAAATGTTACTTTGCTTTAGCAGTTGCTCTATTCTTTGCAATATGTATGACATTTTCACTAGGTTAAGCAAGTGGCAAAGAACTTAGACTCTGCTTTCACACAGAGACTTTGTTTTACAGGTTCATATCTGCTCATAGAAACTGTTATTTTCCTCCTCATTTTAGATTTCAATATTTTAATTGTTTTCAATTTTTTTATCTCTGTGAAATGACAGAGGATCTTGTTTTTGCCTTGTGGTTTTACAGATGACTATTATTCAATTTATGATTGATAACTATCAAGAAATATTTGAAGACTATGACAGTACAATATCCAATGATAATCAAAAGAAGTGTCATGACAGAAAGTTGTCACTAAATACTGTTGGTAAGTGATCTGTTAAAGAAAAAAAGAAGCCATTGATAGCTTGAGTGGGAAAACCTCAAATGCTAATACTGAAGAATTAAAGGTTTCATCTGCTCCTTTTCAGGAGAAAGTTCCTTCATTTAAGAGAAGATTCAATTAGTCATCAAATGAATGGAAGGGTGATGTCATTCTGTGATTTCATAGAATTGTAAATATCACATCAACATTAGGGCCTATAATGATGTTAGAGTATCAGACAATTTTGTTGAACAGCATTTTAATGAAATTATGTATGCATAATAATATATTTACATATGTATACATACAGACAAAAGCACATGAAGCACACACATCTATACAAACACACCCACATACGCACACATATATATGTGTTTATGTACATACATACATATATACGTATCTGTGTATGTATGTATGTATGTATGTATGTACGTACGACAGAGGGACTCCTTATTTAACACCTGTAAGTATTCCAGACTATTACCTGGTATATTTCTCACCTTTATTCTTATTGTCCATAAGTCATGTCAGAGATCTTGGATAGCAAATTATTTTTAAAAAGGGAGTATAGATGTTCTACTACCATAACTTAAATGTTAGAATCATGCAGCAATGTAAATATGATTTATAACAAATAGCAATGAACAATTTAATAATCTATGAGAAGGGAAACTTCACCTGTGTGTTACAGACATTTTTCTATTGTTCGAATTTGCTTCCAAATTTTGGTACCCCTTCCCACTAGTCCTGAGTTTATCTAAGAGGTATGTCCCAGAAATGAAATTACATGATATATAAAGTATGTGACAGTTACTTCGATATATTGAGTATTAATTTAGATGTGTGTTGTACATAGAATATCAATTCGAAACCAAATTTGGTTCTCTCTGCATAAGCTCTGACTGTCTTGAAATTTCTTTTCTATACCAGTCTGACCTCAAACTGACAGAGAACCTCTTGGCACTTCTTTTGAGATCAGTGAATCAAAGGAATGTGCCAGCATGTTTTTCTCTCATGCAAGTCTTAAAATATAGCATAATATGCCCGAGCTGTGCTATAGACACTATTATATTAGATTTGAGCTCACAGGTCGGGTTGGGGGCAGGAGAGCACCAAGGGCTGTAATACAAGTGCAGTGAGCCAAGTTATGTTGATAAGTGCAGACACTGTAGATAATTTACAGTCGCACATGGCTGTTCAGTAAGAAAGTAAGACAGGTGTATCAAAAGATTTGAACTATTTTATTGCTTGAGTTTAGACCTATATGCATAGCTTTCAAGGCAAATCAAGAATTTCCTTTTTATACCAGAGTTATGGGCCATATATAACTAGATATCCAGCCCCTTATGAAGCAATGTCATTATTGTAAGTGTTAGAGTACTGATTAATTATTTTCTGTATATTTGTGGTGACTCATAACTCATGTAGGATATAAAATGTGAAGGTGATGCAAGGGCTCAGTGAGTTGAATTACAACAAATAATGATTTCCCTTCTTTATTAGATTTCGAGAAACGAGAAGGCAATGTTTATACAGCCCCACAAACACTCTCTGAAAATACATCTTCACCATCAAAAAAACTGTTTCGTAAATTTACACCCAGTATTTGTTTGGAGAGAATGCTGCCTTCTCCATTTCTTGTGAGTTTCATTTCAGGTTTCTACAGCTGTCCTATTTCACATAATTTCTGGGAATCTTTGTTCTAAGTAAGTTATTTTATCCAACTGACAAATATGTAGATAACCTATTCAATAGAGTAAGGTCCTTTTAAAATAGAAATACATCCCACTAGAGTTTGAGTCTTCTAATTTAAAGAAAAAAGAAAAAAGAGAAAAGAAATTGTATTCCGCAGTTTTGCGCTAATTTCAGCAAAGACCCAAACTCAGCAGCAGCTTGTTGAACTAAATGGATCTTTGGAAGGGCTGCTGAGTTTCCAGCTATCAACTCTTTTGGCTGTGTTATGACTCCATATTGCTCTAGAGTCAAAAGTAATATCATTGCCTCTGAGATTAGTTAATCTTATAATTAAAAATACCTGTGGATCTTTATTGGGTATTATCAATGAATTAGACCTGCACATTGTTCTTTGCTCTATATTGATCCTTTTATCCTAGTTGACAACATATACTTGCCATCTAATATAGCATAGTCTATTTCAAATATGCTACTAGATTTCCAGTGGAAATATTCATTTACTGTCCAGCATCGATGTTAGCACTATGCCAGTGGCAGGAATTTATTCTGCATGAGAACAAGTTCATGATGTCAGACACATGATAATTATTGCCCATTCTATAGGTATTTTAGAGCAGAATTTTCTGTCATCAATGATTGTAATCATGTAGTCAATTGAAAATAGTTAAAATATGGAGTACATCTGTTTGTGGTCATCACTTTTACACAGTGAAACCATGGGAGAATGACTGAAATTTGATTGGGTTCTTAAATGTGGCAGGATTATTAAATATAAATATTTGAAAATAAGAAGCCACAGAATAAGGAAAAATGTCTCAGAAATATAGTGAGAAAAGAAAGCTTTCCTAAGAACATAAATGCTAGGATTAAAAATAGAGTCCCACAAAGAGAAAAAAAATAGTCATTTGATCTCAGAAAAAAAAACTTATCCCTTTAGTAACTTTGAATGGCATTATTGAGAAAGATATTCAAGGAAGAAAAGAAAAAATAAGAGAGGAACATTCATCAAAATGCTCTGGAGAAGAAAAGTGTGATTCAATCCTGAGGATTCCAAGGTTCCCAAGAAATGTTGATGTTTAAAATTGGGAAAAAAAGATTAGGGACGTAAAATTATTTAGAAGCTTAAATAGAAAAACTTTCAATGTCTTTTTCAATTCTCTAAGTTGTGTTCTGCATCCATACTTGCCATGGCTCTGGTTCATCTAAAAAGACATATTTGTGATTCAGCTATTTGGATCTGTAATAAAGAAGCTTGTTCTTATCCCACACAGGAAATGCTATCCATCATTGCAGAAAAGGGACAGGAATCTGATGAAATATTTAGATGCTTATTAAAAAAACCCCACTGGTCACTCAGGGATAAGATTTACACTGAACAACCAGTTGACTTGAATGAGGAATCCGTGCTCATTATAGCTTCGGTTGTAAAGGTAAGGAAGGTTTTTGAATCACCATCATTCAACATCCTTCAAGAGATGCAGATGTGCTTTCTGGCCTTGATATTACCTGATGATGAGAGTTTCCTTGAACGGTGGACATACAACCTCCGGGTAAAAGGCATGGTAGGTAAAAGTCTGACAAGCTCAAAGACTCATCACAAAGACAAAGGTGAACATCTTCAGTTGGATGTTAATGTCCTCATATGTCAAATGGAATTTGTTATGACATGACAGATGTGATAATGATTTCACCTACTAACTATCTGTTGTGAATTAATAACAAATCAACTAATAATAGTGGTAATAGTGTGTTTTACAAAATTCATATCTTAAATCACACTTACTAAAAAAACTATTCCTCATAAATAACAACCATACAAAATAGGTTGACTACCACAGACTAATCATAGGTTATGCGAGATTTGAATGTTGTCCTCTGCCCAGTAGAAACATGAAATGTTTTGTCTCTAAAAAAAAAATAAAGCAGTACTTTCACTTTTGCCAGATATTCCCATCTTATCCCCACGGCAAATAATCAAATATTAGCCTAACCTGGTCCCAAATAGTCTGTTATATTTGTCTAGGGCAAATATCATTGTATTATTTTTATTTGGGCATATCTGACTTTGCCACTTAGTAGACTGTGTAGTAATTGTCCCAGACATCATGATTAAAGATAAAGTTCTGAGAGTAGGCATGTTTAATAACACTAGGCAAAGGGAAAGAATGATCCACCTAGCCCTTGAGCTTGCCAAGTATGTCTGGGTCTTATTCCTACAAACTAGGGACCTCATCATTGGAAGGGAAGTGAACACCATTAACTGTAGGTAACCACGTGTACACACAGCAATTTAAAGGAACAGTACCATCTGGGAATCTTCCATTCTTCTGATTTGCTATACTTGATAGACATGAACATTAATTGTGGTATTTAATGGAAAGTGAGACTTTTATCTCCTTCAAGCAAGCTGCTGCTTACATTTAATTTGACTTGTTGAGTGTTTACACATTGTAAGGAATGGATGTGAAACTGTGAGTCCTTCTGACATGTAATAAGGGTGTTAAGGTAAGCAAGTTCACCACAATTCCAGCTGAGTCTGTAAGCAGAGCTGTTCCTGTGTATTTCAACTTTACTGTCTGTGAAATGAAAGTACAGATTCACCAAATTCTACAATCAGAATGAGACAATTTCTGGCCCTGCCATTTTTTGATGGTTGATTATTGTCAGGATGACACTTTCTTTGTTTATTTTGTTTCTTTTTTATAGTAACTGTTAACTTTTTCCTTTTTTCTGTTTTTATTATACTTGTTACCTACTTATTTATTCATTCATTCATTCATTCATCATTCATTCATTCATCCATTTTAAATCTTGAATGCTGTCCCCTATCCCTTCAACCTTGACTGAGTCTCTTCCCTTCTCTGAGCAGGTTTGGTTCCCTTGGGTTATCTTCCCAACCTCGCACATCATCTCTCTTCAAAGTTTGCAGGTCTTCTCCTATTCAGGCCACTCAACGGAGATTTTCCACAGACAGTTAAGAGATGTAGGAATAGCCTTCTTTCAACATGTTGCAGGACCCACATCGAGACTGAGCTGCACATGTGCCACCTTTGTGCCATAGTCAGTGATGCAGCTTTGTATGTTATTAGGTTGCTGGTCAGTCCTTTTTAGCACCCAATGGTCCAGGTTAGTTGACTCTGCTGTTCTTCTTGTGGAATCCCTATCTCCTTCAGTGCCCTGAATCCTTTTCCCCACACTCCCATAAGAGTCTCTGAGCTTCATCCAATGTTTCACTGTGGGTCTCTTTATCCGTTTCCATCAGCTGCTTGTTGACACCTCTTAGAGATCAGTTATGATAGGCTCTTGTCTGGATGTCCCAGATAGGCACTGGGCTCCTTGAGATGGACAGAACTTTAGGCTGTGAAGTAGAGTGCAGATCTCTGATTGCAGGTAGTAGTGTGGACTGGAAGGCAAGAAAGGCAAGTGGGACAGACAATAGATTTATTTCATTGATACTGTAGTCAGAACTCTGCTTTATGATTCTACACTTAGGTAAGAACACATAAGCTCCTGCTTGTAGGTTCTACTTTTGAGCCAAGATTCTGGGTAGGTGACAGGTTGGGAATCTCTAAAGGAAGTAGAGTCTCAACCAGTGGTTCTCATCCTTCCTACACCTGTGCCAATAATACATAGTTTATCAGGCTTGGCCATCATAACCATGACATCATTTTGTGTTATTTCATAACTGAAATTTTGCTAATATTATGAATTATAATGTGTGATGTATGGAATATCTGATGTGCAGGGTATATGATATGTGACCCCTCAAATGGATTGTGACAAACAAGAATCACTGGTTTAATAGCTATTTTTAAACAAAGCTGTTTCACAGATACTTTCTGTATTGTATATTGATCATTAACTTCCTTTTTTTCTTCGTTAAAAAGGACTTTATTAGAAAAATACCAGGAAGCTTGATGTGTTTCGATTTATATGAAAATTGGCTTCGAGTGAGTGATGAAGCTTCTCTGGTTGGAAAAGTTCATGCTATACAAAGGTAATGATAGTATAAGCACTTGGGGAAATGCACACAGATAGAAGCAATGCATTTTGAAGGTACTTGGGCTTGTATTTACAGGATTATAAACTCGAATCATGTCCCATACCAGGGGGTTGCCTTTACTTAGACATGTATAATCACTTTATAAATAGGTCCATTTTACAAAACAGAATGTTGAACCAGGTTTGTAATCCCACCTCTTGAGAGTCATCTAAATTAGTACTGTCACAGCTTGGAAGATAGCCTGTGCTACATAGTTTTGTGCAGGTCAGCCTACAGTATTGGTTTGAATTCCTGTGTGAGACAAATTAAAAGAAGTATGTGTGTATAATACCTGTGTGTTAATTGAATCCTAATATTATTACCACGATATTGTAAATATTGCACATGTTAAATATATGTCATTGATTAGAGTATGAAGCCATTACTGAGTTTGTCTTTCTCAACTCTAAGTACCAAGAGAAGTCTGGGTCAGGTTTAGCTTTGACTTCTTTGAATCATTTTCCTGTAGGATACTCCATAGAATGATTTCAATTGTAACAGGAGCTTTGCTGTTCCATTTCTACCTAGGACCCCAGCATCTCTAGAGTTAAACAGCAGAAGTTTTTTTAAGCTGTATTGTATAGGGTGAAGAGTGTGTTTTCTGCTTCTTATGTTTCAGGGTATCGCAAGAGTGTTACATAGATTCATACTACATTAGATATTAAATGTGTCTCCATGGTGGCTGGAATGAAGGTTCACTGTTTAACAACACTTTGTTTCCATACACACAACACACACAGATTGTAACAATCTTCATTCTTTATGTTTCCAGGGATCCTAACACCTTCCTGTGAGTTTTGTAGGTAGCAGTTTTACATGTACTACAAAGAAATTCATACATTTCTTTTTAGATGTCCTCTAATTCTACAGGGAGTAGTCATTTGCAGAAAATATTTTAGGTAACACTTTTGCTGTACATTCTTACTGAGCTGGTCTGTAAAATATTTCCCCTGTTTTTTTGTTTTTGTTTTCTTGGTTCCAGAATTTTGTAAGTAACATTGCTTGTATGATAATCAACAGTAAAATTCTCCTTTTTCTATGTATAGTATTCTACTGAAAATGCCACAACATAACTATTGGTTGCTGAAAGAACTTATGAGCGTGTTAGTAAAAATTAAAACCTCTTCCAAGAATCACCTAGACACCTACATGCTGTCGCTCCGCATTGCACCACATATGTTTTGGGATCCAACTTGCAATAACTCCTTATTTGGGAGTGACCTCCCCCAAAAGGTAAGGGTATCTGATTTTTCCCTTTGGGAACAAAGTCCTCATTTTGAACCCAAAATTGGGAATACCTCAGAAAGATCAAGGATATTAAAGGACAGTCTAGGATTGCATCTTCTGGAGTGGGAGACACATTGATCTATTTCAGGGTAGATTGGGAAGGAAGATTTCTAATGTTATTTGATGAAAGTGAATCATTACTTTTGGGTTCTGTCTTTCATTTTTTATCTTTCTTTTCAGATATTGATTTTAGATATTGATGTTTTAGCCAACAATAAGCTGCCTGTATAATGGTAGTTCAAGAAGACTATAGTGAAATTGAAAAAATCATGATTATCTAGTTCTTTGTTTGTTTGTCTGTGTTCTATTATAGCTATAGTTTGGAGCACATGATAGCTGTGCTTTATATTGGTAAGACAACTATCATAATGAAATATTCACTACAACCTCACTTCTGGTCATATAAAAGCATTCTATACATATATATGTCCAAATATAATGTTAAGTTTTAAATATATTGTAAAATAGAATGAACAATGATAAAAAGTTAATGTAGGTTATATAATATAGTTTCTATTATTTTATCAATCTCATACTTATTTAAATCAATAGTGCATGTTTGCACTACTTCAGGTACACTCTTATGTACCTCAGGTATTCTGTAGCTCTTAATTTGACAGTAAACCCATATTCATTAATATTTTTCATAAGTTTAGTTATTTACCACATCTCATGATTGCAGTATTCTCCTGTAAGCCACATCTTCAGAACCTCTTCTTCCCTCAGTTTAATTTTAAATTAAACTTTTTTTTTAATTTTTTGGTGAATTTACCAGGCGAGAGAGTACATATGGAAGGATTGGAAAATGGGTGTTACTCAGTTGTGTGGTGAGAAATTCACACACATCAATGAAGAACATGCATTTTAAAATTTAAAAAAGTTAGACAAAAAGCCGCAACTACCTGGAAAAAGAAAAGAAAAAAGAAGACTATATTTTAACTAGTAGTTTCCAGAAATAAAGTCCACAGAAAGGAAGTCATGGTGATTACTCACAGTTGTGTAGCATAGCCCAGGGAATAGCTTGTTCAATTTAGAAAGTGACTCAATTTGCTATGATTATTATGAAAAAACAGTGATCAAAAGCATCTTATGGAGGAGAGGTTACAGTTCATGATGTACTTCTAGTTACCACTTAACTCCTGAGAAAAAAGAGGAGCACAAACAAACCAGGGTAGGAAACTGGAGGAAAGAACAGATGCAGATGCTGTGTAGGAGTTATGTCTCCTGTAGGGTACCTCATAACTTACTTTGTTTGACTAATATCTCACAGGTGGCACCATCCTTTAGATCTGAACCCTACAAATTTCATTGTTAATCATGACAATAACCCATAGACTTCCCTCCACAATAGGCCAATCTGATGGAGGAATTTTATCAACTAAGATCCGTCCTCTCTTCAACTTCTTCTCATAGTCATTATTTTGTAGCTTCAATAATATACCGGGCCTAAGGCAACTTATAGAAGTAAATGTTTATGTGGTCCTTAGAGATTCAGAGAGATTACAGTCCTTCAAAGTCATGAGAGAGGAGCATGGCTGCAGGAAGGAAGGACAACCCAACAGGAAGCAGAGACACTGTGGCTCTCATCTCAGGAAGCAAACATGAAGCACAGAGGGTACTCTGCACATGGCACCTGGCTTCTGTAACCTTAATTTCTAACCAATAACATACTTCCTCCAGGAAAGCCAAGCCACTTAAACCACCCAAGAGATGTCACAAAGATGGTATCATATACTGGGATGCCTGAAATGAATAAGGCATTCTATTCAAGAAAACACAATGAAACTCTACCTCCTCCCCACATCCCCACCAAATATCACAAATTCCATAAACCTTTGAACTCATTTACTTTGATTCACTCACAGTTATTCAGGCAGCATGTCAGTTCTGAAATGTTACTTTGCTTTAGCAGTTGCTCCATTCTTTGCAATATGTATGACATTTTCACTAGGTTAAGCAAGTGGCAAAGAACTTAGACTCTGCTTTTCACACAGAGACTGTGTTTTACAGGTTGATATCTGCACATAGAAACTGTTATTTTCCTCATCATTTTAGATTTCAATATTTGTATTGATTTCAATTTTGTAAACTCTGTGAAAAAGAGGATCTTGTTTTTGCCTTGTGGTTTTACAGATGACTATTATCCAAATAATGATTGACAAATATCAAGAGTTATTTGAAGACCATGACATTCCAATTTGTAAGGAAAATCAAAGTAGGTCTGATGATGTCAAAGTGTCACTTAATACTGCTGGTAAGTCACCTGTTATGAAAAGTGTTATAGATGGCCACAGTGGGAAAACTTCAAATGCTAATACTGAAGAATTAATGATTTCATCTGCTCCTTCTCTGGAGGAAGTTCCTTCATTTAAGAAAAGGTTTAATTATTCATCAAATGAATGGAAGATTGATATCATTCCCTGGTTACTTTGTAAATATCATAACAGCATTTGGGCATATCATGATATTAGAGTATAGGAAAAGGTTTTTTTAAACAACACTTTAATTAAATTACATAGGAATGCCTATAAATATATATATATATATGTATATATATACATATATATGTTTATGTATACATACAGACACAAACACATATACGTACATACTTACATACTTGTGTGTGTGAGACAGAGGGACTCCCTGTAAGAAATCCAGTTTATTATCTGCTATATTTCTCATCTTTCTTCCCTTGGTCCTTTAGTCATGTATGATATCTTGAATATGACACTATTTTTAAAACGATCACCTTAAACAATTATTTGTTTTTAAAAAATCTATTAAACATACTGCAAGATTGAACCATGTGCCAACATGCGTTGCTACTTTTGTCCATAAAGAGTAGTGTTTGTTTCATTTCCTTTGAGAGATATTCTTAGCTAATGCTTAGCATTTGATATAAATATTAAGTTACACAGTATCCTCTATAACACATATATGAAGAATAATATAGATGTTAAAACATAGCTGATTTAACAGTTAACACCATTCAAAGTCAGAGATACTGTTAACTCAATTAATTCTTTGCGTAGACTTCAGATAATATACTAAAAAACTAGCTGTATCTGCAGTGTGCTGAATCTATCATCTGAGAATGTTTGTCTAAAGATGACATTTTATGTTTCATTTAGCAGGGGACAGTGGAACACCTTCAACATACCACGTTCCACAACAGAAGCATCCTCATGACTGAGGGATGTCCTCACCATTCTATTTCAATGTTCCCTTCTATCTTCCACTTTACCATCGCAGAAGATATTATTACAAGAAACAACTGCAGTTTTATATTGAACCATATTACTTGCTGCAAATAGTTTCATTCACTATACTTTATGTTGTGCATTACATAAACTTATCTATTATAATAAATTTTTATTATATTATTGCTTAGACTCCAACGTGCCTTATTCATTATTCTCCATAGTCTTTAAAATGGCATTTTTAGTATTCTCCTCTTCCCCTCTTACGCAGGCACCTGTATTAATTTGACAGATATCCTAGAATCACTTTATTAATTATTTCTTTCAAACTGCAATCAAAATGACATTCTAAGTCCTGCTGGAAAAATGAAGGTTGGAGATTTATTTGACCAAATTATTCTAGCTTCTCACTATAGAACAGTCCCCATGGCTAAGAATCAACTATTTAGTAGTACAATAAAATCAGACTCGGTCCTGTGCAGTGTAGCAACACTTTTTAAAAAAGAAATTATATTTCTATTTCTCTCAAAATGTACTCTTGAAAATTATTTACATTAGGAAAAATTGCTCAT